TTCAATTGTCCATTCTCGGATGTCAGTTTCTTGCCATGCTTACAATAAGAAAGTGAATATGAAGATACGTCGTTTGTTTATAAAAAGAGTTAAGTATATTGCGAATATATTACCACTGGATTAAAATTTCTTTTGTTTCTTAGAGGAACCCTGACAGAACGGTATGTGTTCGAATCCTGTTCAAATAAGGCAAAACTATTCGACCAAACAAGTGAGTTCAAATCTTAAACCTTGTTGGAACTCGTTGATGACACATATTTATTCGCAAACAATGCATTAAAAGAAAACCTCTTTAGACCACAGGTATCAACTTTCTAGCGAGATACGTAAAAAAGTGTGATATTTTTAGAAAATATCTTAGGACCTTCATAATTGTTTTTGGATGGTCTAAATAATCTGCTAGAAATAGTATTTCTGCACACTTGTAATAATATTAAAATATCCCAGAGCTCAAAAAATTGAATGTGAACGAAGACTTAAACAACAGCTTTACAAGAATGGTTCCCTGAAAAGAGTGTATCATCGAGCATATCTGAACGAGTAATTTAGAAGCGACACAGCGATAGGGGAAAATACCATTAAGAGTTTCATTTGTTTAAATTAAAGGAAAAAGATATTCAGCTTCCGACCCACTGCAATGGTTTTGAGCAATAAACACAATCAGATTCTAATTGATAACTGCAGACGTGTTCCTTGTGATAAAATGTTGAACCTGTTTCCTTTTAAGGTTGTGTTACAAGTTTAATCAATTATGTCTCTTTGCAGATGAAAATAAGCTCCTTGCAAATATTAATTTGGTTTACACGAACTACAAAACGTGTTCAATATTCGAGAATAACATCGCACCATTCAGTAAGATGAAGAATGTTTACATTACAGACCTTCTTATTCACTGAATATCGAACATGAAGGGGACATCTTTTCGCTAATATTGTTTAGATATACTTCCTTGAGAAATAGGCTTGGCAATAAAACACAATCAATTCACAACATAGTGTAGAATTCTGGCAGGAATTGTTAAGGGTTGGATATTTGGCGCTTCGCCTCATTCTACATGAATGTTTGCCGCAAAGCAAATGGTAGTGCCTTATTAGTTCATTGCCACTACCATTTCCTCAAGAGTTGATCCTCGAACATTTTTTTTTAAGCTGAGTTGATTATATGCGGAGACGACAACGTCTCGAGACGTTGTCTTTCTGTCACTTTGCCTTTCTTTTCCACGTTTTGATGCTTCATAAGTTTCTCGCCCCAGTTTCTGGTAATTTCAATAAATGATAATTGGCTACATCATCTCGCCTGCGCTCTCATTCCTATTTAACATTTACTCACTGATTTGTTCACAATAAAATTTTGTTATACAGCACTGCTAAATATACTTTTCAATCGTCTTTCTTTTTTTTTTTTTCAGGATGCCAGTTGTATGTCACCTCAAACGCTACAAGAGGAGATATTCAAAACTGCCGTGAAAAGTTTCCTACTAAATGCGGGATGAATATTTTGGATACGTTCAACACCGCACTTTGCGGCTCGAACCGCCCAATGCAAACCTTTTAAAATAAAAAACAAAATTTGCGATACCTCATTGTTTTAAAAATTATTCATTAGCATTTACGAGCACCTTGTCAAATTAATCAATTAGCCGACAATTATGTTGATGGAGGAGATAAGTATTTCTCAAAATAAACAACTTTCAAAGCACACCTCTGGTTTCTTCTGTACAACGCGTATTTAATTTTATTAACTGCTCTTTTTTTAGTTTAGGACTGTAGTCATCACAACTTAAGAAAATTAATTTATAAATTTAAATTCCAAATCAATGTTTAGGAAACATACCACAAAAAGGGGTGGCTGCCCTCAGTGCAAAAGTCAAAATTGCTTTGAGAAAAAAAATTAATAAAAGAGCATAAAATAGCAAAGGTGAGATTTCGCAACGCGAAAACTCTAAATCTCTACAAATGCCACAAATACCAAGAAAAATAAACAAATGAGACCGAACGCACAACATTATGTTTGATAAATGGGGTTCGTTTGTCCTGGTTACTCAAAGAGTTGAAGTTCCCAAGAAGCCGTTCGGATCATAACTTTCAGAAGACCAACTAGGGAACATCCGGTATATTTAATTGAGGTCACTTATAATAGCTTTAAAAAACAGCGCACGTGCCAAGGAAAATATTATCAGGCGGAAACCACATTCCAAACAACGAATATTATTCGTACAAGAAAGGTGGAAATATTATGAAATATACACTATTTAAATAGAACAATTCAGAAAATCGCAAAGGATTATTTTTACGTCTAGAGATAAGTACGAATTGTAAACTCGCTTGAAGATTCCTCACATAGTAAATTACCTTGTTAGTTTTCCCTATCTGAACTTCCTCTGAGATCGCACTAAACTTATGTATAGTGCCGTCCTTGCAGCATAAATATTATAATAGGTTTCACTAATAAGAAAAGAAAAGAGTATGAACTCAGTAATCCCATCTATATTAAATCACTCCCAGTCGAAATATATTTATCTTAATTTTACATACCTTTGTTGGAAAAAAGGATAACTGCAAGTTTTGAACATACACACTGAATGTATGTGTTCAAAGATTAACTTTCTTGTGACAAAAATTTTAGATGTAGCTATATATATTCTTATTCATAATCACAACAGATTATTTCAGTAAACCGACTTTCTTCCATTTTATATTGGCATATATAGCTCGTCTCCGACAGAAAAAAATTTCGTTATTTTTTGTTTTGTCTGTTAGGTTAATTTTTCATTCCATGACCTTCTTCTATCACTGGTTGTTATATTGCTTGTTTTCAAATGTAATTAAGTTGTGCATAGTTTTCTTTTTAGTTGAGAAACTTCTTTTTGCGGACTAGTTATTTTTGCAAGCAAGCGGAGAGCAAGTCGTCTGGTCCTTACTCCGGAGTTGCGGTGACGTCATAATCACGCCGAGCTCTGATTAGCTTTGATTAAAAGATTGTGGTGACTGTGTCGCGCTTTTTAAATATTTGCGCACGTGCACGTGTTTTAAATGATTCCGCAGTAAAAAGCTTTAAATGCGAAATAATTCATGTAATAAGTGTCTTAAATCTAATAAACTTTGATAAGATGATAGTATTAGAAATTCGTCAAAATGCGAAAGCATTTACTAATGCATATTTTATATTCATCACAATTTTCATAATATAATAATCTGGTTATTAATCTTTGTTATGCCTAAGTAAATATAAAGAACATATGAATATGAAAAATTGAAGACATTTACAATTCTCTGTAACTCCGAACTGGAACACAGCTCCTGAGGAGGAGGAGGAGAGGGTACGGAGGGGAGGGAATGTCCCTCCTTTCCTTCCGTACCCTCCCCTCTTCCTCTCCTGTTCCCATCTCATTTAGCAAAAAATTTTCGGCAAATTTCTCGCTAAATTTCTCGCTAAATTTAAAGAAAATTTCTCCGCTAAACTTAGCGGGGAAATTGTTCCGCTAAACATAGTGGGAATTTTTTTCGCCTAATTTAGCGGGAAAACTTCCCGCTAAATGCAGCGGTAACACTTCCCCCTTAAAATAAGCCGGAAATTTTTTTTGCTAAATTTAGTGGGAAAATTTACCGCTAAATTGACGTTTGACGTAACGTTTGAAGTCACACGTCAATTTCATGTGTGATGTCACATATGTCGTCACGTGACATGTGACGTGAAAATTCACGTGTGACGTTACGTGACGTCACACGTGACTCACGTGTGACGTCACTATGGAAAACGTCCCCACTAAATTCAACGAAAAAATTTCCCACCAAATTTAGTGAACATTTCTCCTGCCAAATTTAGCAGCAAACTTTTACCCTCGTGACGCCACACGTGACGTCACACGTGAATTTTCACGTCACGTGTCACGTGATGTGACACGTGACATAAGACGTGAAATTGATGTGTGACGTCACACCTGGCGTCACACGTCAATTTAGCAAAAAATTTCCACGCGACGTAATAATGCGAAACGTCCCATAAAGCAACGCGCGTTTACGCCAACGCCGACGCCTCTCAACATAGAAAGGGGCACCTTAAAGGGATACTTCAACGAAATTTGAAATATTCCTGTCGTGTTCAAAAATAGGTTGAATATGATCCACAATATCCGTAAATGACAATCGCACGTTTGTATTTTGAGCCTGATGGCTGTATTTTTCGTTATAAACGGCCCCCTCTGGCAAGCGCTCGGAGAAGGCCCAGCGGAGACCACGTGACATCCAACGCAATCGTGACGTAGGTCGTCTCAAGACGAGCAAAGCTACGGCGAGGCTGACGTCGAGAGGATGGCCTAGTCGTTCCAGCCACCGAAGCGGCTGCTTTTGTACGAATTTTGAGTGGCGGGTTAATCTTCTATAATCTTCTAGGGGGACAATGGCGACTTCTGCGACACACAAAAGGCATTCCCGGGAAGAGGGGAGTTCCTCCTGCCCCTCTTTTCTCGTCGTGGCCGGAGGCGAGACAACCTCCGTCACTAGCTGTCAAGGTTCCTAGACGGGCATTACAAGCGAGGCCTTAGCGACATCCACCAGGTGCTCTTTGCTAATTGTTTAATTCGTTTTAAAATTCCTTTTCGTGACTTTTTTAACAAGATATTGGTATGTTCGATTTGATGGTGCTTTTTTGAACACATATAGACCAAAAAATGAGCGCCGAAATTTCGTTGTAGTATCCCTTTAAAGCTGCGCTCTACAAATATTTAAATTTGTGTTTATAAAAACATCCATTTGAATTTGATTTTTATCAAGTTTTTACTCTTGTCAATGCCGCATTGACGCTGTAATGAAATCAATCTAACTATAGGGATTTCAACCTAATTTAGGATAGCAAGTTAAACCTAAATCGGGCGCAATTAAATTGTTACCTGGTGCTATATAGTTAGCTATTAATGAAACATCACGAAATATTTTAATCGGGAGTTTCGCATCGAAGCCTGTGGCCTCACCTAAGGTGGTAAGTTATTGTCAGTTTTAGTTATGGAGGTAAGAAGCTTTTCGAGGCGACATTACGCCATGAGATATGAAGCCACAAATGGAGAGGGACACTTCCCCAACGATGACCAAAATCAGGAGCCGCTATTGGACGAAAAGAACAACTGACTGAACTGCTATTTGGTGGCCTCAAGATGGCCCCAGAAGCTTCCTACCTTCATGGTTTTAATGGACACGTCGGTACGCTGCCATGCGTGTTTCTTCTTTTTCGCGATGTTTTCGAATTCGGTATATTTCTGAGTCCAATGACACCGCCAAAACGTGTTCTGCATTAAAAGCCCCTGCACGGTTTCCTGTCAGAAAAAAAAAAGCGCAAACGGGATGTTCGAACAGATGGCAAAACTAGGTTAGAAACTGTCTACATCAAAACAGCCACGTGCGTCATATCTCCGTCTGTATCCTGTGCTCTCAGGTCCCCTATAATCTCTCTTTGAATATTTCTACAGTGTACATTTTTTTGTTTCTTGATTATTTCCACTTTGTGTATTAATGTAATAAGTTTGATTTTGCAGATTACAATATTCGTTTACCTGACACACTCCGATTTGAGAAGGATTCATCTCGCCATGCCGTGGTCTCTTCAAATTATGCAAATAGCAATTTGTACAATGATGATTGCGTGTCTGGATTCAGGCTACGGAACTGAGGAGTGCTCTCCGCCTCCCGATTACAATATTTCCAAGGTTCGTTGCCATTTTTTTGTCATAAATCTATACTTAATTTCCTATGCTATTGGTGTTTTCATCACATTTGAGATTATGAAATGCATTTCTTTTTTCAGTTTTTGGGCAGCTTTACCAATATATATAACAAATATGCCACTCATCCCGAACAGTTCTGCATATCAAAGGTCCAGATACCTGGAAGCGTTTCCGGAGGCCGCGCTTCTTATATGACAACCTATAGGACACTTAATGACACAGAGTTGTGAGTAGCAACTATGACATTTGTCGAGTCTCGCCCACGAATTGTAATAGCCCCGTAGTTTTGAGCACGAATGGTATTTATATCCCGGTGTCAAGCCGAAAACGAACCGACCCCAAACCGGAACCCAAAAGTTATTTTTAGTCGAAACGGAACTGAACCGTACAAAAAATCTTTCCCGCCACCTTGGAACTGAACCGGAACTGACCTGAAAAAAAATACAGCGGTAACCGGTTCAAAACGGTTCATGGTATTTTTTTAATCACAAAATGAATTTTTCAGAATTAAAAATTAGGGGTTGTGTTCTTGATTAAGTCGTCATATACAGAATTGCAATGTATTAGAAATTGTGGGTTCTCGTGAGGTCCACGTCACGTGGACCTCACTGCGCCAAGTGACAAAGTCACGTGACCCACTGTGTGAAGTTGATATAAATTGAGACCTGGATTCATTTGCCTTGTTGAATTTGTCAAGTCCCATGACATCGTGACTTCGCACCGCGAGTCACGTGACACCGTGACGTACTCGACTGCTTGAGCCCGAGTCGACTTCTAGGGTTCAGGACAATCAGCATCGCAAAATATTCGGATAATCTCTCGTGTTCAATCAAAGATGAGAACAGCCGAACTCAAACAATGTCTGAAGCTCAGTCGATTCTCTATGCTTTGCAAACCCCAGTGCATGGCTATGAACACTGACGGTATATAATTAGCGTCAGATCACGTGGCCGCTTGTTCTAATTGCGAGTTGAAGCGGGGGAATCCCTTTCTTTCCTTTATTCTTCTGCGTCTGCCATTGCGCAAAAGGAAAAGTAATAGGTATTTTTGCAAGTCATCAACGTCAAGGATTAGTTTTTAGCGATATCTTGCGGAAGCACAAAAAGTGTTGCTCGACCCATTGAAATTGTGTCGAGCAATTGAGACACATGTGAAATTAGCCGTAGAACGATTTTCGTCGAGGTGCCCAAACATGTTTTCGTTGTCGCTGCACTGTCTCAGAAGGTTGTCATGAAAAAAGAAGCATGGAAAAGACTACATGTGGCTTATCAATCTGACTTTACATAGAACTACGAGTGTGCATGGGCGGGACACCTGAATGGAAAGATCCTATTAACGTCAAAGGGGGACAGCCGAACCTTGGCAACCGCTCTAAGCCTCACACGAGTGTCGTTCCAGTTCTTCTCCAAGCTTTGACCACCTCCGTATTTTTTTTTTTAAACTTCAGAGTTTTTTGACGTGAGATAGAAGCAATGGAACGTGAATGTTACCATGTGACACAAAAATAATTGTTGATTTGACACCCCGAAATAGAGGAGGGAATCTTTTTATTATCTCGAATAGGAAGTATCATCTAGAGGAGCACCGAATAACGAAAAAGGGGGGATGGGGGAGTTCTAAGAGCCTACTGTGTTGTAAAGGTTTCTCTGGCCCGCATCATCAGCCCATACCATAAAGGGTGTCCCCGAAGACTACATTCTTTGCAAAAAAAAATCTTGCCAGAAAGCGCGATTTCGTAGTACCAGACGCTCGCGCTATTCCTCCAAACCTTGCATCAAGCGAAAATAATTGGTCTCTCAAATGCATGACTTGCACGGAGCGCGGACCTTCTGCACCGTGCATTTTACACCACCAGATCTTTTTCTCATCAGGAACAAATTGCAATGACCACCAGAATGGAGTGCGATGACGTCATGTGTAAACCATTTGAAATAATTCAATTCCCAGGTGAAACGCGACGTTCGCAACAGTAGCATGCTCGAAATATAGCAGTATTATTCCGAAAAGATACCGCCCTCCCAAAATGGTAGTTCATAATTCTATTTGATTAATTATATTTTGTTTATATTTTTATTTTTCATTAGTGGAACCCTTCAAGAAAGGTATGAGTTCGAATCATGTTCAACCAGGGGGAAACTTTTCGACGAAACTGGTGAGTTCACATTGGGAGCTTCTTTTGGAAAATTTCTATAACACTTATTTATGTGGAAACAATTCTATGCAACTTTTTGAGTTCGCAATTATTATTACCTATTAGGTTAAATACCTAAATGGGTTGAATATTTTCTGAGAATTTTTAAGCAATCTCTAAATCTTTGTTATCTGGCCGATTGCTGTCTAAAGGTAATCATATCTTGTGCATATTGTTTTTAAAAAGTTGGTTGTTCGCGAAATAATTTAGGTTAAATTGAAATTGTAATTTTCTTACAACTTTGTTTACAATCCCACTAAATTGTTTGAACATAAAAACATAAGCAGCATATTTGAACGACTCGCATGAAACTGACACCAAGAGCAAATAGTATATAAAACAACTTTCATTTGTTCAAATTCAGAGAAAATATTTTGTACTTTCCATTTTTTTGTTAATGACTATCTATCTGTTCAATATATTCTGTGATCGCGTTTTCTTAGGTATGTTGTTCATAAACAGTTTTTTCTCTTAACTGAGACAACGGGGCGCCCAGGTATGATGCCGGCTAAACGTATGTCCCACCTTATAAACATGCTGTGCTATGTGATATTGACTTAAAAAGCGCAAATAAGGTCAGGAAGGAAGAAACAACAGGAAGGAAAAAGCGCTGACTCACAACTTGTGTGTTGTGAATCAGCGCTCTTTCCTTCCTGTTGTCTCTTCCTTCCTTATTTCATTTGCGCTGTTTAAGTCAATATGGCTAACCAGCTCGCCAGGCAGCTCTTTTTTGGGCTATGTGATTTTGTAAAATTAAACAGCACGAAATATCGAACCTGAAAAGGCTCGATATGTATAATTACTGACAATATGCAAGAATGAAAAGGGTTTCTTGACTCATGTAACATCGCTATTGAGAAACCTAAATACGTAAATGCACACCTGAAATGCAAGCTCTAAAATAACACCACGAACATCCACGACCGGCGTATTCTGTGGCGGTCTTCAGTATAGCTTTTAAATTATGTATTTTAGAGTATGGCAACTACACGAAACCTAAACTCCGATATTGGGTGTTCTTCTCGAGTATGTAGCTTGGTTACGACAATTTAATGAAATTTCTTTCATTAAAACATTAATAATAATAATAATAATAAATTGCCGAGGCCGAGGGCTAGTCAAGCTGCTTGATGCAGCTTTTTTCCTCGGTCTCCATCCGTCATTGTATGTGATGGAAAATAAACAATTTATTATTATTATTATTATTTATTATTATTATTATCCGTCCATCCCTGTACCTCCGCTACATTTACAGCGGACATTTACGTAATGTGACGTAACGTCACGTAACAGATACACCGTGAAAACTTTGACGTCACGTGACCTATATTTCAATTCAGTTTCCCCACTAAATTTTGCGGGAAAATTGACGTAACCTGACCTAAACACCGAGTCAGTTTCACTGCCAATTTTGTGAAAATCAACGTCACCTGTCTTAATGTGACATGATCTATACAACAATTTATTTTCTCTGCTAAATTTAGCGGGCAAAAAGACGTCACGTGACACACCAATTCCCTCTCCCCATTCCACTCCTCCCTTTCTTTCCCCGACCCACTCCCCCTGAAATCTTCTACCTCTCCCTCCCTCTTACTTTTCCCTTTCTCACTTCCCCACCTCTCCCCTATTCTCCTACCGTGCTCTCTGCTCCTCTTTTCCTTTCTCCATTCCTCTTCACCTTCAATTCCCTACATGTCCCTCCTTCTCCCTTGCATTCCCTCTCTCTCCCCACATCTCCCCCATTCTTCTACAGTACACGCTCCTCGCCTCCCTTACTTCCCATCCCTCTCCCTTCCCCTTCATGAGCCATGTGACACAACAATCCAGTTTCTCTATTCCTCTGTCTTTCTTTCCCTCTCCCTCCATCTGTCAGTCTCACAACCGCCATCTCCCAAACTTTGTGCTCACCGTTCCACAGTGCCCCTCCGCCTCCCCACATGCCTTCTTTCTGCATCCCCCTCCCGGTCACGTGACGCACCAATTCAGCTTCGCTAAAATTTATACAAATATTGGGTCTTTACTCCCAAAACGAATGTTTATTATTTAGCAAACAATTCAAACAATCGCTTCGAAATACATTTTATGCATTATAAGACTCAAGTTAAAGGTAGCCCCCATTTTTTCCCTAGCAGCAAAACCCACTCCGTGTTTGATGTTTCCATCGGTCGTGACACAGTAGTTTATGTGTGAAAAGAGATATCCGAAGCGCATCAGCAAGTCATATTTGAAAAAGTGAAGTTAGATTCTCAATGACCGCTATTTCATTTATTATTTTATGAATTTCCTATGCGGGGGCAGGTTTTACTGTTGTGATCAAAAACGTATACGCAAAGCCGTAGTCTGTCCACCTGAAAATCAACAGCGTTCTATTAGTACTCTTTTACTGCAGTTCCTGTGTTCAGTTTTGTCATTGCCTTATATCATTGAATTGAGGATTCCTATTGCATAATATGCAAATTAATTTTATCTATTCTAACGTGGTCTTCATCGTCGCTATCGCGCATTCCCATTACCTTCCCCAATGCCTCGCGTGGCTTGACCGGGCAGCGCGGGCCAGTTCGAATAAAAACATCGTTTTGTCTATAGACGCACAGCCTCTGACCTCCTCACAATATGTTGTCATTGGGCAAAATTCTCGAAAGCTCAATATTAAAATCGTGTCACAATGCTGCCAGAACCTACTTTAAAACTTGACTGTTCTTACTGTCATCGTCAGATAGTGCAAATAAAAAAAAATAAAAAACTCTTCGGGATTTTGCAATATATAAATATGAAACTTAAAATCAATAAGCTCAAAAAATAATTATCCCAATTTAGAAAGCTATAGTGGTCCTTGCAGCGCAATGCTACACCGCTTATTTGAAGGTTGACATGTGTTACATGTTAAATGTACCATGGCTTCTTACAGATGGAGAGATGCTTCTTTTGAACCTCACTTTGGTCTACACCAACTACAAA